GGAGAGAGAGGAGATATTTGATGTAAGTAGTGGCCGTTCGTTTAAATAATAGAAAAATAAAAAATATTACTACTCTTCAATCAAATTCATTGTCCATGAAAAACTTATAATCATGACACGTATAAAGTTCCTGCTATTTTTACACATTATCGCTAACATTTTCTTACTCTTTTTATACGGAATCCATTTTCACTGCCAAATTCCACAGTCCAAAGACTACCGCATGAAATGTTGAAGACTTGCCCAATTCCATTGGAGTTTCAATCGGTGGCAAATATTAGTTGAGAGAGAGTGATTCTGTGGTCCACACTTCCTCCACCAAAACTCTATAAATGTCAAACCCAATCTCAAGCAATTACTCAAGCAAATTGAGTGAAGTTTTGCATGCCATGAAAATGGGAATGGTGGTGAGATCTCCATCTTTTTTCTTCTTCCTCCCCTTCATTTTAGCTCTTTCGATTCAATCCTCTGGTTTGTCAACGGTTGATTTAGAAGCTGAAGCATTACTGAACTGGAAAACTAGTCTGAAAAATCACACTTTGGTTTCATGGTTTCTTAAAACCAGCAACTCCACCAGCCATTGCAGTTGGAGTGGCATCAAATGCAACGATGACGGAAGTGTAGTCGAGGTTGACCTCTCAGATTTTGATTTGGAAGGGACTCTCAATCAATTGAACTTCTTCTTGTTGCCCCATTTGACCGGCTTGAATCTCAGCATGAACCATTTTTTACAAGGGAAAATCCCAAAGAGTATCGGCTCCCTTTCGAAACTCAGTTTCTTAGATTTGGGAGACAATCGATTTACGGGGTCGGTACCTGAAGAGATTGGCAATCTCACTGAGCTTCGCTTCATTTTTCTAAGTGGAAATAATCTTAATGGCCCCATCCCTTATCAGCTGGGTAATCTGCAAAAGGTATGGCATTTAGACCTTGGTAGGAACAATTTGAACTCTACTGACTGGTCAAGGTTTACAGGTATGGAGTCTCTTACTCACCTCTACCTATATCACAATGCTTTGATAGATTTCCCAGCCTTTGTTTCCCAATGCAAAAACTTGGTACTTCTTGATTTGTCTGAAAATGAAGTAAGTGGTGGAATCCCCATTCAAATGGTTTCCAGTCTGAAAAACCTCCAAGTCCTCGACCTTAGTGTTAATTACTTTCAAGGGCCCATTCCTGCTGAACTTCAGAATCTGACTAGGCTTCAAGAACTTCAACTCTATGGCAATAATCTCAAGGGATCCCTCCCTCCCTCCATTGGAAAGCTTTTCATGCTTAGTACATTGTCTCTATACAATAACCACTTCACAGGATCCCTTCCTCCCTTCATAGGAAACCTTTCCAAGCTAACTTACTTAGATCTATCTAGAAACAACTTCACAGGATCCCTCCCTCCCTTCATAGGAAACATTTCCAAGCTGACTTACTTAGATCTATCTAGAAACAACTTCACAGGATCCCTCCCTCCCATTATAGGAAACCTTTCCAAGCTGACTTACTTAGATCTATCTGGAAACAACTTCACAGGATCCCTCCCTCCCTTTATAGGAAACCTTTCCAAGCTGACTTACTTAGATCTATCTAAAAACAACTTCACAGGATCCCTCCCTCCCTCCATAGGAAACCTTTCCGAGCTAACTCAATTACAGCTATTTGAAAACCACTTCACAGGATCCCTCCCTCCCTCCATAGGAAACCTTTCCAAGCTAACTCATTTATTCCTATATGACAACAATCTCATGGGATCCCTCCCTCCCTCCATAGAAAACCTTTCCATGCTGGCTAGCTTATATCTATCTGGAAACAACTTCACAGGTTCCCTCCCTCCCTCCATAGGAAACCTTTTCATGCTTAGTGATTTGCATCTATCTAGAAACCACTTCACAGGATCCCTCCCTCCCTCCATAGGAAAGCTTTTCATGCTTAGTAGTTTGGACCTATCTAATAACAATTTGATGGGATCTCTTCCTCCTGAGATTTGGAATCTTGAATGCATATATAGTATGGATTTAAGTTCAAATAGATTTCAAGGCCAATTAATCCACACCGCGTCTGACCCTCACGGACTTCAGCTTCTATACAACTACGGTAACTTTTCTGGAAATACTAGGTTGGGTTTGGGAAAAAAATTTGAAATGTTGAATATCAGCTTCTCAACTGATATACGCCGTCAGATTTGCAAAAGCATGAACTTATTGCCAGGATTCTTGAAACATTGTACGAGCACAGTGACAATCCGAGAGGTTGCATGCTATGACTTGGTGAACACAACCGAGACTTATGCCAAGCTTCCTTATTTAAATTATTTGGATCTCTCAAACAATCAAATTTCTGGTTGTATTCCAGAAAATATTGGAGAAGTCGTGCCAAATCTATCGATCTTGGATCTCTCCAATAACAGTATTTCAGGATTTGTTCCCAACTCCATAGGGAATATGAAGTATTTGAAAAATCTTGATCTTTCTAGAAATAAATTGATGGGACCTATTCCCACTTCCATGGGATACTTGCAAAACATGATAACATTAATGTTGAGAGGCAATACATTATCAGGCGAGATCCCATCGTCATTAAAAAATTGTACCCAGCTAGAGGTTTTGGATCTTGGTGACAATCAATTAGCGGGAAATTTACCATCATGGATTGGCCAAAGTCTTACCTCACTTCATGTTCTCTCTCTGAGATCTAACAAGCTTATTGGGGCCATTCCTAAGACTATGTCAAGTCTGCACTCGCTTCAAGTTTTCGATGCTGCTGAAAATTGCTTCTCAGGCACTATCCCTGACATTTTCACAAACTTCACAGCTATGAAAGTTACAGAGAAGATGGCTGATTACAATAACGATCTCAACCGCAACTTCTATTATAAGGTGAGCATTGATATAGTGGCAAAAGGGTCAATGATGGAATACACCGAATTTCTCTCTCTTGTGACATGCATAGATTTTTCGAGAAATAATTTCTTGGGAAGAATTCCAGAATCATTGACAAAATTGATAGGCTTGCGCGTGTTAAACCTATCTGGAAACCACATGATTGGGAAGATTCCTCAAGAGATTAATCAATTGCAAGAGCTAGAATCGATGGACCTCTCGAACAATCTATTCTCTGGTGGCATTCCTCTGAGCATGTCATCTATGAATTTCTTGAGCACATTGAACTTGTCCTACAACAATTTGTCAGGTCCAATTCCTTTTACTGGCCACATGAGCACATTCGATGATGCCTCAATATACTATGGAAACGAACATCTTTGTGGTCCTCCTCTTCCTAAGAAGTGTGATAGTCCAATATCTAACAATGTTCGGGATTTGAGAACCGGGTCACCAGAGGTCCAGCAATTTTGGATTAGTGCGGGCTTCGGCTTTGGGATTGGATTTGGAGGATGGTACTCAGTTCTAGTCATTAAAAGGAAATGGAACAATGCAATTCTCAAAGTCATGGACTCCATCGCTGAGATTTTGATCACGCGATTGCAACATTTATTTCCCAGAAGAAATAGGTGATGAGTTTATAGTTACATAACCAGTTTTAGAAATTAGAGTGTGAAGAAGTGTGTAAGAATGTAGTATTGGTTGTGTAATCTTATTAGGTGCTTGTATTGTTTGGATGTAAGTCTGTTGTCCAATATGTTCATGTCATTTGTATTTGTTTTGTATGTTCTTTTCATGTTCAATGAAATTTTATATGGCACGGAGAGAGAGAGAGAGAGAGAGAGAGAGAGAGAGAGAGAGAGAGAGAGAGAGAGAGAGAGAGAGAG